ATTGGCACAGGACAGAGCGGAGTTTAGGGCTGTTGTACATAGGGTCGCTATGAGTCGCAGGCGACTCGACGGCACATAACAACAACAAACAACATGTTTTGGCCTTAAAATTCTGTGAAATTTCAAACGTGTGAACTTTTTATTCTTCCAAAGAATTGTACTTCTCCCCAAACTGAAGTCTAAAGATTGCAAGTCCATCCTAAGGGAGGTACTTGAAGGCATGCATGGAAGTTGTCATATTTTGCCACATTTCAGATCATTTTCTAGGTGTTATATAAATGTGTTCCTCAATGACAATGTAGTGTCTTATTTTAAAGGAAATGACCTGATCCTCCAGTTTGGACATCACATCCTGCATGTCCCATACCACTTTTTCATGACCATTTAATATATTGGTCTTTGTGCTGTAGTGGAATTTTTGGGTTTAGCATCAGAGTAAAATAAATCCATCACATTTGGAACATAAAAAAAAGAGAGAAGAGATAAAAATGTGAAGGAACTAAGTGACTATTCAGTTGTGAGCACAAAACTAATGAAAGGAGTTATTTCTTTTGTGTCAGTTGAGTTCTGAGTTTCAGATTTCGCAACAGTGAAAGATGAAAAGAATAGAAACATGTCACAAAATTTTCTTAAAGGTTAAATGAAGATAAATGCCCATACAAAGATAGATGTTTTGTAAAGTGACAAAGGCTAGATATAAAGTAATTCTTAGTTCATAGATATGATTTTATCGATAATGGTGAGATTTAAGATTTGAGATTTGGTTGAGATTTTCAAACACAAAGTTTAACAGTAAAATAAAATAGTGAAAAAATTGAAACATGTAAAGAAAGTCCAAAAATTACAATGGGGCTATCTATTAACTTCTTTTTCTTAATTACATTTTTTTCCGATGGTCCAGAGGGGATATGCCAATGAAAACTTTCTTCTACTGCCCTAAAGGGCTGAGAAAAACCACCAGTGATGTCACTGCACCACTTGCAAATTTAGCTGTAGCTCTACTCCACTTCTGCCTCCGGATGAAGCTTGAGCTCATCTGATGGTGATCAACCCACTTTTTGACAGAAAGGCAGAAAAGAAGCAAAGGGTAACCGATGTCCTCAAATTGTCCTTTCTGGTACATCCTAGGGATTCTTGACTGCATTTACACAATACCTTCTTATTTCTTAGCAACTGTTTTTATGAACAAAAACAAATGTAATTTTTATTTTTAATTGTTTTATAAAATATTTGCATACATTATATAAAAAGGTTTCATTTCCACTTAAGTATGGACAAAGCAATATTTTTCTCTCTGCTGTTTTTTTTTTCTGAGGTTGAAATTTTATAGCGATAAAGTGAATGATCTTTCTTACAATAGAAGCTTTATCTGATAACTAAAAAGAATTTTGTCTGATAGGTAGACAGCATTAAAAACAAATGTATGAATTACATTTTTGTTTCTGATTAAATTTATAATGTAAAAATCCTAAAAATTCTAATGTATTAGAGTATGGATACCCAAGAGCTCTGCAGCAATTGCTGGTCCAGGGACCTGCATCTGGACTAAATGAATTATGACTCTTGCACGTGGTAATTTTTGTGATCAGAAGCAAATAATCTCAATATCTAGGTTTTCTAATCTATAAGAATGGAAAAAAAAAACCCTTCTTCAAGCAATGTTAACTATAATGAAGAATTCATGAAACACTATTTCAATCTGAAAGACATCTTACTACGTAAAATTAATTAGTCACCAAAGGAGAAATAGTGTATGAATCCACTATTATAAAAGGTAAGGAAATAATATACATGAAGAGGGGTAGAAAACAGCGAAAGTATTATTTGATGGTTACCAGGAAGGGAATGGTAGGAGGAATGGAAGGGGGAGGGGAGAAAAAAGTGCCAGAATATGAAAAACCTCACTTAATTTTCACTGTGTTTAAAGACTAGATCACCAAGTGTATTTTGTCCTAGGGTTGCTTTTATCTTTGAAGCAGAACTTAGCTTTAGCAGTCAATGGAGATGGAGTTTGATAAATTATTATTTTAATTATGTGGTAGGTTCCAGATTTGTAGAGTTGTAAATCAAATCTTTGCAGCATACATCAACACTGCAGAACTTACACATTTAGTAAAGGACCCTCATAAGTAATCTCCAGAATATTCACTTGAATAACAAGAGACTAAAACCTTTTTTAAACGGTTGTGAGTTCTTCCTGAAATATCTCTATATCATAACCATTTCTAAATTCTTCCCATCAAAAGGAACTAATGTTTCCTTCCTGTTGGTAAAGACTTAAAAATTTAATGTTTTAGAAATTGGAAATCAACAAGGTAGTTTAAACTCCTTAAGTGGAAATGTGGAATATGTTGCTACTGATTCTTATTTTAGAAACACCATGTGTATTTTGAGTTTATTGCGTCTGTTTTGAAACTTTTTCAATTCTACTTCAAATTACATTTATATTAGCATGTCATTTTTGTTATGGTAGTGGTAATTTTCGTTTGTTTTTTTACTAAGTATTCAGATTTTTACTTACTACAATGCAGGCAAGTTTAACTTATCTTTATTTTGTGTACAGAGTCTAACACACGGACAAGCTATAAAAAGCAAGCGAGAGGAGGAAAGCTGTGAACTAGAATCAGAGATATTTCTGGATTTGTTGTGGTTTTTTTTTCTTTTAAATTTCTCTTTCCTCATCTCAACTCCCATTTATTGTGAGTAGTAATAAAGCTAATGATGTTGGTGAAAACAAAGTCTTGTTTGGCAAATTCCATTCATCCTTTAAATGTCAATTCTCTTTTCCTGAGATTTTAAAAAAATAATATGAGAAAGTGAAGATTAATTTCACTTGTAGAAACTCGTAGCTGTTAGGCTTAATTCAGTTCAACACATTGCTTTCAAACAGGAGCCCATCCAGCAAGTTTTCAGTCAGTAAGTTAAATGGGAAGATATTGTCCATATTTTTTTTTAGAGCAGCTGGTAGATTAAAATTACCTGCCTTGTGTTGGTAGCACAACTCCTTACCACTACGCCATCAAAGCACAGAATTGTCCATAAGTCACACTTAACCAAAGGCAAAAATAAAATAAGTGGGCAAATTGCTTGAACAACAGAATTTATCATACCCAAGCTTTTAGAAATATGAACATTATATTATAATTGTAGGTCTGATCAGTCATCACTTGAAACAGATTCTGTTTGTTTACCTGTGCCAGATAATGTTCTAAATATTGCCATTGTTTCATCTATTTTAATAGACACTACACATGAAGTTTAAGCTTTATTTTTATTCTTTCTTTACGTAGAGTTAAGAAAGGGACATCATTCTTGAGAGGGTGGAGTGACGGTGCAAGAGGAAGACCCTGGATGAGATGAATTGGCTCAGTGCCTGGAGTAATGGGGGTAGATGTGTCAGAGACAATAAGGTTTTCTCAGGATAGAGCAGGGTTCAGAGCTGTTGTACTATGAGTACAGCGATCACTATGAATAGCAGGCAATTTGACAACACATAACAACAACCTACAACATAGAGGAGGTACAGAGGAAGCTAGACCCAAGGCACTGTCTAACTAAGTACTCTGTGCCCTTGACCCACTCTCCCCCTAGTTCTCTAAGGGGTCAGTGAGAGAGTTTTAAGATCTCAAATGGATCATTAAACTAGAGGGATTAATTTAATTTTGAGATCCATCACACACATTTTAGAAATAAGGAATGTGAATTTTCTGTGTGTGTATCCTTCACTTTTCATCAGTGATTCACTCTTTCTACTGCACGAGGTAATGATTTTTCACTCCATGTTGATAGAGAATATCTTCATCAGGAAACTTCATCACCCTCAACTGTGGCAAGTTCAAGGTAAGATATCAATTATTTCAACTCACAGTTGTGAACTCACTCATTTTTCTGGTGAATTTACTGAATTTTAAATTACTCCTAATCCTCAAATCAATACATAAATCCTACAATCCATAGAACTTTCCCTTATTAGCATTATGAGGTTATGATATATGGTAGTAATGTGAGTGGTCCTTATAAATCTCAAAACTCTTCCTAATGCCCTAGGTGAAACCTCATGGACAACACCACAGGGCAAGCCAACCACACTAGAGGGTTTGATTTCATCCTACTGGGATTCTTCAATCAATCCAAAGACCCAGCTCTCCTCTGTGTGGTGATTTTTGTGATTTTCCTGATGGCTTTGTCTGGAAATGCCGTCCTGATCTTTCTAATACAGTCTAATGTCCACCTCCACACTCCCATGTATTTTTTCATTGGTCAATTGTCTCTCATGGATATGGCATACATTTCTGTCACTGTGCCCAAGATACTTATGGACCAGATTTTAGGGACCAAAAAAATATCAGCCCCTGAGTGTGGAATACAGATGTTCCTCTATTTGACACTAGGAGGATCAGAATTTTTCCTTCTAGCTGCCATGGCCTATGACCGTTACATGGCCATCTGTCATCCCCTCCGTTATCCTGTCCTTATGAACCACAGGATATGTCTCCTTCTCACATCTGGATGTTGGTTCTTCGGTTCAGTGGATGGCTTCATGCTCACTTCCATCACCATGAGCTTTCCATTCTGCAGATCCAGGGAGATTCATCACTTCTTTTGTGAGGTCCCTGCTGTAATGAAGCTCTCCTGCTCTGACACCTCACTCATTGAGACCCTCATGTATCTGTGCTGTGTGCTCATGATTCTAATACCTGTGACAATTATTTCAAGCTCCTACTCTTTCATCCTCCTCACCATCCACAGGATGAAATCAGCAGAGGGCCGGAAGAAGGCCTTTACCACCTGTTCTTCCCACATGGCTGTAGTGTCCCTTTTCTATGGGGCTGCCATCTACACCTACATGATCCCCAGCTCCTACCACACACCAGAAAAAGACATGGTAGTATCTTTCTTTTACACTATCCTTACTCCTGTACTAAACCCTTTAATCTATAGTTTTAGGAATAAGGATGTCACAGGGGCTCTTAAGAAAATGTTGAATGTAGAACCTGTCTTTCAAGAAACTATAAAGTAGAAAAATATTGTTAGCAACAGCTTCTTTTCTTCCTGTCTATATATCAAAATTTTAGAATCTTGGGAGAAATTATTCCTCAAACTCTCATATCCTGATATGTCATCTTATTTTCACTCTCTTCCTTTTTTAGGTAGTTGTTCCCCTATATTATAATTCTGTGTGAATATCTGTATTCTAAGGAAACACAAAATGAAACTATTTAGAAGTCATATGGACTCTTCACTAGAAGACAGAAAATATGAAGCAAAAAAGAGTAAAATGGCAATATGTAAGTTTAGGAAAGGCTATACGGTTATTCTTTGAGCTAATCTATTATAAGAAGGCAAATGAATATTCTTAATGCCTTCCCACAAATTTAAAAGTAATTAAAAAAAGTTAATCATAAAAATGGTTGACACCAAATCAATTCTTACTCATCAGAACTATACAGGACAGAGTAGAAATGTCTCTTAGGGTTACCAAAGCTATACATCTTTAAGGAAGCAAACTGCCATATATTTCCTCCTGATCTGATAGGTTCAAACTGCTACATTTTTTTATTAGCAGCTGAGCACTTAATCACTGCATGGCCAAAAGCAAACCACTGCCTCCGATTCAGTTTGTATTTGCGATGACTGTATGAGACAGAGTTGGACTGCAAAACAGGGCTTCTAACTGTGTGAACTGCTGACCAAGATTAACATCCGAGCATTTTAACCACTGTTTCACTAGGTTTCCCATTGTTAGTTAAGTCTGTTAATTCAAAATAAAGAGTTGAAAAAAAAAAACCAAACAAAACCAGTCTTTGCACTCACTTCCCTTTGTTTGAGTTGTTATTCTGGTGGCAGTCTGACAAAATACTACTGACAGCATGTTCACTTCAACATGATTTTGCATTACTTGATATATTGAGCATATGAGAATTGCCTTTGTTCCATGTGGCAAGCAGAGGAAGATATCCAGTGGGTACTGATAAATTGAAACTACTGGGGTTGTAAAATAGTCGTAGAGTCCAGGATTTCATACTGTATATATGGGACATACATTAACCCAAGGTGGAAGTGTGGTTGGTTGCGGAAGTTTCTCCTCTTCATCAAGTGATGCTGAATAGAATTTTTAAATAGGGGATTTATAAGACAACTTAAAGTGAGATATCAAATATTAAATTATTTATTCAGAATCTTCATCTATATTATAATCCAAAATCATATTTAAGTGAGATTAAAATTTAGACAGTGTATCACTTCTATGGACTACAGGTATAGTTGTTTATAGTAGGTTTGATAGAATATGCAAATTTCTCTATTCATCTTACAGAGATTATAGTTTTTAATAACACATATTTTCAACCTATACCACATAAATTGACTAAAAGCAAAGCTGTCTTATGGAAGACCATGGAGCTCAATTTTGAAAGATGACTCCATGTTACACTTAGATGCATGTGGAAGGCTGAGGAACCAGGGGCAGGAGTGGGGTGGTGAAACGCAGTTACAGTCAGGAGCAGGTTTCAGGGAAAAGACACATCAGGAGGAAGGATAAGCAAAGTTGACCAAGCAGAAGTGACAGGTTTTCTAATAAAGTTTTACAAATACTAGTGAAGTGGTCAAACTTGTGTATTAGAATTGCTACACTGGTAATAATTAATGGGAGACATCCACAAATGGAGGTAAAAAAGACTAGAAGAGTAATAAAGGCCAACTGGATGATGTTCATGTAAGTGGGAACTACATTTTAATACTAGGAAGGACTGGGGAAACAAATATCTAGAGTAAGTGGGTCTTCATGAATAAGGTAAATAAAGACACAAACTCAGTTGCATGTCTATAATTTTAGAGTTAAACACGTCCAGTAAGGCCATTTCAAAAGTTACATTCCTTTCATGACTGTATAAAAGCGTATTGCAGGGTTTGGGGTTTTTTTTGGTTTTGTTTTTTTTTTTTTTTTTTTGCTTACTTTTCAATTTCTTTTTATTTTATATTGGCTTGCATACACAATTTGTATACATTTTGCTTTATTCATATATTTTATGTTTCACACATCTCTCCACATTGTGCTTCTTGCAATCATTCTCATACATTGTGTCTTATAAAATTAATCTCCATTGATGCCCAACTGTTGCCCCATCTTTTCGGATCCCCACAGGATCTTTCCTAATTCTTTCACACCCTGTGTCCATACACTAAACTCTGTGACCCTGTGATTTCCACCCCTCCGCCCCACCCTCTGTCTCCCTGCCCTCTCTCTTCTCCTCTTTGGGGTTTTAAAATGTCAGACAGTTTCCAAACTTTTTACTATATTCAAAGTACTGGATAAAATATGCACATTATTAAATTTTCCCCACATCAAGCAGTATATATTTCCCCTCAATTTTCTGGATATAGAAATAAACACATTTGAAATCATTTGATGCAATGGAGTTGAACCCAAATCATACTAATTCTATGCATGAAAACCTTACTCAATCCTGAACCATCCTCATTATCTCCATTGTGCTTAAGCCCAACATGTTGATGTTCTTGTTAGGCGTCATCTTTCTTTGTAGTGATTTTTTTTCCTCTTTTCTTTGGTGTTATCCTCGATGTCATCCTCCAGTTTTCTCTATACTGTTTGACTCTCAAAGGCTGTGGAAGATAGTCACACTTCAAATTTGATCCTGAAATCACCCATGACACAATATTCAGCTGTATGGTTGGTAACACCAGGAAGCTATACGCTTCTTAAAACAATTAACCATACAAAATGAAAAGGACATGATTTGCCCAGGGATAAAGCTTAGAAGGCAGCATAGGATAGGAAAGAAGAATAAATGGTACGTGAAATATAGAGATATATTTGGAAGAATACTGTTATAATTGGATTTCAGTCAAGTCAGGAAACAAAAAATGTACTAATTGTTGAATGGAAACCAACTTATTCTGTAAACTTTCACTAAAATAGTAATAAAAAGTTTTGCAACAATGAATGAATGGAAACCCAAAATATCTGTAAATGTTCATTAAAATGAATAAAATTTAATAAAAAAAACCCTTAAAATTACTTCAGTTGGGAAATTATTTATCAAGTTAGATATGGTATCTGCAGTTACTGACTCATTGCTGACCGTCAAGTGTGTTTTCTGTGGTGGTGAATCACACAAGAGGAGATTCTGCATCTTTATTCGATGAAGCAACTGGTAAATTCAAAACCTAAGTCTTCAGGTTGACAGCATAGCTCCTCACCATTGGTCCAACAGAGTTCTAAGCATTCACTACACATAATTTCTTGTGCTGCACTTAAATACAGAAATTAAATAGATTCTAACAACTGCCTTTCTATAGTGTCAAGTAACTTTACATGGAAATATTTTTTAAAAATGTTCAAACCTCAAAATTTATTCATGTGTTTAAACTAATAATACCAGCATATTTGATCAAATTCTTATGCCCCGTGACTCAATGTCCAATTGTACCAAAATTGTACCGAAAAAATATCAAATTGCTAAGATACTTACAACAGGTAAACAAGTTAAAAAAGAAACAAATTTTTGTTGTAGGATTGACTTTATTTTATGGTTTAAAAAAAAGTTCAAATTATACAACTCTTTCGTCTTAATAACGTCAGTGCTATATGCATTTTGTGAATTCAGTGTTAAATATACAAAACATGTTGTTGTTATGTGCTGTTGAGTCGTTTGCGACTTATAGCGACCCTATGTACAACAGCTCTGAACACTGCTCTATCCTGTGCCAATACCAAGGCTTCTGACACACCCATCCTGTTTACCCCAGTCACTGAATCAATCCATCTCATAGAGGGTCTTCTACTCCTGCACTGTCCCTCCACCTTTCCAAGCATGATGTCCCTCTCCAAGGACCTGTCCCTCCTTACAACATGTCCAAAGTATGTCAGACGAAGCCCCAGAATCCTTACCTCCAAGGAGTAGCCTGATTTAACCCTCTCCAGGATGAATCTGTCTGTTTTCTTGGCAGTCCAGGGTACATTCAATACTTTTCTCCAGCACCACAGTTCAAAGG